TGCTGTCTGCGTGACAGAGTGACGTTTCGAATTTCTGTACAAGCTGTTCCCCGTCCTTTTGTGAAGCAGAATTTAAAAAAGACTATTGAAGAGTATAGGACAGAAATTCGAAACGTCACTCTGTCACGCAGACAGCAGCAGTCGTTATTCTTCTACCATCATAGATTCTATCTTTGATTAGATGCCTTATTTGAACTTCCAGGAAACTCTTTTAGTTTCCGCTAGTATGCTTCACCTAGTACAGGTCGGGAGATAGGAGGCGTTGGATGTATAGGGAATAATACAGGTAGAGAAGGTATGGAAGGTGTGGGTGTGAGTGTGAGTGCATCTATTGTTGTCACCTACACCCACACCCACACCCTTCAAGCTTTAAAACACAAATAAAAGTAAATGAGTACATGCTTTGCATGATGACCGGCGAATTGGTTACTTTTTCAGAAAAGATCTACCGATTGACGTCTTCATAAATTCGTCTCTATAAAAGCTGGAGGATGATACTTGAAGATAGTAGTTTAGAGCATGTGGAAGGTAGTTAGTAAAATGCGCAGTGAGTAGTAAATAACGCTGCTAAGCTAGACCCATTTCAGAACATGCGAACGAGAACGACATGATAAATTGTGGTGATCCACATAAAATCGGCATTAGCGAAGGCAAAAATAAGTCTATGTGTTTTAAAAATTGTTTTTCGTAGATGGTGGCTCGTGTTTCACTACGTGTTCCTTTAATTGGTGGTTGTGAAATAAATACAATTAATAAGCAAACCGATACGGTATTAATAAAGAATGGAAAAACATAATGGACTAGGTTGATAGTTCTATCGCACAACGAAAATGCAGAAGTGTAGACTGTGACGCATAAGGTACCTTGAAATACAAAAGTTAGACGTGATTTTTCAACTTTAGATTAAATGTCTTGCATGCAAATAAGAAAGCTTTTTTTCTTTACCTTGTTCAGCATTCTTTGGATCTTGTCTGATCTGATAATACACGATTTCATGAATATAAGAGCTGAATATCAGAATCATTAGGAACCATATTATTCTCTTCGCGATTTTCGGCTGTTTTAGCCACTGCGCAGTGGGATAGGCAGCAGCGTAGACTCGTCCAATAGCTAGTGATGTCATTAACCAGTAAGATATTTTTGGCATGATTGAGAGAGAGAAACTGAGTATTTTACAGCTGAGCATGTTGTACAATGAATTAAGGATCAATCTTTTCGTTCCAAAAATCATATGGAATGTTTTTAGTACTAGAAAGGAAAGTGATAGCTGTGAAATGATACAGTTGACCAGTAAATAATGGTCTGCACTATTTGCCAGTGGTTTCGGACGACGAAATATAGCGAAACAGAATAAATTATTCAGAAACCCAAGTAAAATCAGTATGAGTGGTATAATAAGGTAAATAATAGTTGAAATAATCTGTATCCGTCGGTTTGTAGAAAGTAAATCATTCACCATCAAGGATTCTAGCGAAAAACTTAACACCTGTAAACTATTTTGACATACGGAGCCGTAGTAACATTTTGGGCACAGACATGTGAAATCGGCTGGATTTTCAATATCACCTCTAAGGCAAGACCCTCTACTTAAGCAGAGCTCGCAAAGATCAGCTTTTGATTCATAGCCAAAACATTCTGCTTTCATGTGTCTATCACATAGGCAAAATTAGTTGCTATCGAAATAGCATCTTATTGGCTCATGTTTTTGACATAAAATATGGTATTCATAGATAGCTTTTGATGACATTTGGAATTTGTTCAAATTGTCGTAGTAGTCTAAATAGTAAATTTTTAAGAATTCCATCGCAATATCGCCTGTCTTAAAGATCAAACCGATTGATTTATTACTTCAACAACGGTTGACTATGTCAGAAGAGAGCCAGCATCAGTAAGAACCTACCTTTGTAAAATGATTGT